CCCAGTCTCCCTTATTGGGCCCCCACTCAGGCAGCAAGTCCCGAAAGTCCCTCCAGGCCCGAATCCCGCAGGCTCCTCACATTTGCCAAGGTGGGAAAGGGCCGGCCGGCATCTACAGGAGGCCCCACCGCCCTGCACTCGAGAATGCCCGCGCCTCCCCCTACCCCCACAGTCACTGTCTACAGACTGTCTGGCCCAGGGGCTGGGGTCCTGGAGGAGGGAGGGGGCAACTGTGGGAAGAAGGACTGAGGAGAGCCGTCCTAAGCCCTAGGGGTCCCCGTCGTCTCAAAAAGACTGTCCCCCATCCTAGCCCTTGAGAGCTGCAATCCCCCCACCCCCGCAGGTCCAGAAGCTTCTGTCCCTCCCTCCCATTGCACTGCCCGTTTCCCTTGGTTACCGAAGAGATGCCAGGCCTCCTCACCCCAGGTAGGATGGGGGAGGGACCTTGTGGCCTTTGGAGTGAGCTCCCCTGCTGGAGTATCTGAGCTGAAGGTAGGAAGAAGGATGGGGAGCCGAGCCGCGGGGGTCTCTTTCCAGACGACAAGCCTAGTGGGCAGGAGGTGGGAGGGGCCAGGCCGGGGTTATGAAGAGGGAACGGCCTGTTTCACTGAGCTGAGTCCACGCAGGCTGGGCCTGGGCACTGTCAAGAAAACTTTTTGCCCCTTTTGTTGTGATCCCACAAATGCGATTCCCAACTTGGGAATGACTTGCCCCCAGGTAAGACATGGTGGGCATGAAAGAGTTGGAGGCAGGGGTAGACGAAAGCCCAGGCATATTGACGCCTAAGGAGGGCTCTCCTCAGGGGACCCTGGGGTGGAGGAGGAAGCAGGGCAGAGAAGAGTGGAGAGCCTCTGCCAGGCAGGTCACCAAAGCTGAGCTAGCCCAGAGGCAGGTGTCCCTCGGCACAGAGGAGCCCATGGGCTGAAAGAGGGCCGCTTCCTCCACCCGTCAGCTGGGGGGGGGGCGGGGGGCAAGGACCTGGAGTGAGGTGCAGGAAGGCAGGAAGGCTCCCACAGCACCTTCAGCTTTCCCATCCAGGCAGGTAGGAGCCTATTCCTCGGAGTTAGATTTAAACGAGACTGAAGGAGGATGGAGAAGGTCTGAGACCGCCACAGTGGGGACGGAGAAGGCGTCGAAGGCCCAGCGTGAGCCAGTAAAGCACTAAGCAGCGTTCTGGGTCCTCCACCGTCTCACACCAAGGGATGCAGGCAATGGTCCAGCTTGGTAGGAGATTCCTGTGCCAGCATGAACCGGGAGAGGGAGCCCGGACTGTTTAGGACCAAAGAAGGAAATCCTGGGATCCACGCTGGTGACAAGAGCATCACGAGCTGGAGACCATGGGAGACCCACTGGAAAAGGGCTAGGGCTAGGAATGGCCGAGTCGGAGCAGCCTATAAGCAAGCCCAGCACTTATGGGAGTAGGAGGGAGCATTGGACAGACTCAAACCTCAGCTCTCCACTTGCTAGCTAGGTGATGGTTAGCAAGTTACTAAAGTTTCTACGGCTCAGTTTCCTCATTTTTAAAATGGAGGTAATAGTGTTAAATAATAATCATCCTCAATAATACATTTAATGATTTCATAAATTTATGTAAGTAAAACATCTGACATCCCCAGCATAATACTAACACACAGGTTGATCGCTGGCTCTGGGCCCAGCACTCCATGAAATGTCTCACGCCCATTAGCTCCTTAATCCTCTGGGTATTCCTATGAAGGAGGTATATTCATTACCATCCCCATCTTACAAAGAAACAGGCAGGGCCTGGTGGCTCATACCTGTAATCCCAACACTTTGGGAGGCCAAGGCAGGGGGATGGCTTGAGCCCAGGAGTTCCAGACCAGCCTGGGCAACATAGCAAGACCTCATCTCTACAACAAATCAACAGTACCTGTAGCCTGTACTCGGGAGGCTGAGGTGGAAGGATTGTCTGCAGTGAGGGTGATCATGCCACTGTACTCCAGAGGGTGACCCTGACTCAAAAAAAAAACCTGAGGCTTAGTGAGACTGAATGACTTGTCCAAAGTCTCGGAAATGCCAGGAAGCAGGGTAGAGACCTGACCTAGGGCAGTAGAGCTCCTTCGTGCTTGGCCAGCGGCTGTCCTGTTTCCTGCTATGAACATGCTATTGAAGGCCTAGAGCTCAATGCATCGTAGCTATATATAGCCAAGGGTACAGTTCCCGGAACACCTGTCCACCAGATACAAGCCATCAAAAATGAGGACAACCCTGACCAAACTGGGGCATCTTGTCACTTTCTGTTACCTATGCTTGTGCATGTAGACAGCAGACCTTTGAGTTATAGCTTGGTGTGGACATCGTTCTCTGAATGTGACTTGGAGCCCAGAGCCAGGTCCTGAAGACACAGAGTAGGTGCCCCAGGGGAAGATTGGCCTTGACCTAGTAACTGTGATACTGGATCAGGGACGTAGCCACAGGAAGCCCACCAGGTCAGTGAGGTAGACCTCGGAGAGACACAGTCCACTGCGCAGTCCCCACCCTCCCACTTTCCCCTCTGAGGGAAAGGCACAAGCGGCATCCACTCCTGGTGGCCCTGGCCTCTCTGAAATGTCAGGATCCCTGCCCTGAAGAAGAACTGGAGTCTTGAACATGCTTCCGGTGTTGAAACTCTGGAATTCTCTGGCTGACCACAGATTCTCCAGGGAGAGAAGGAGACCACTTCAGGGACTGCCCTCTGTGCCCTCAGGGGCTGTCTGGGGGCCCCTGGGCCCCCAGCCTATGGGTAAATACTCATTGCAGTGAAACTGGTACCACCTGCTACCCCCTCAGCAGGCTGGTGATGGCCAGGTCAGACCAAGGCCAACCTATGAAGCAGGCGAAGTGAGCTCAGGCCTCCTGCCTTCTGGTTCTCCTGGGGCCCCTTCCCACTTTCTTCCCTCTTGGGGTACATTCCCCTTGCCCTTTCTAACTTGGATGTTTGAATCAGAAACTCATCTACACTGAGGTAAGGGGAAAAATATATATATATAATATGTATACACACACCCCCTCTTGTTATGTAGAATATAGAATACATAGATGCATTATATATAATTTCTGGACACAAACTGTA